ATGCGCAGCAGCAAGAAGGTTTCGGTCATCCCTTGAGGGTGAGTCTAGCCCTGCTCGCCAGAAAGACCCCCCCCTTCGCTACAACCCATGTCTAAGCAAAAGCTTGTCGGGGAGCGAGGGGAAGAAGGGAGAGTACTTTGCCTTCGATTTTTAATGTGAGAAGAGTTCAGCATCTCTTCCCTCTGTGCACACACGAACTAGCGCTATCCACTAGGCCAGGAGCGGAAGCGAGAGAAAAACTCACTTTGCAAGAAAAGCTCGCTTACGGCGGGATTCGAACGCCTGACCCGACCTCTAGAAGGTATCGAGGTTACCAACTAGACCAGAGGAGAGACCGGCATGTATGCTGCTCGGGGAATCGTAGAAACACAGGTAGCATCCGCTGACGCTACAAATATCCTGAACTTTTCTACATCTGCGGACAAGGGATAACATAGGTTCGTTTTGTATTATACTCATTTCGGAACAACAACAAAAAATACATGAAGCTGGCAATCTGGCCTGACCTGAGGCGTCTTCGCCTCTTGGCCCACACAGGTTGCTTGTTCCTCCGCAACCGCATCACATGAAGAACCTGGACCTGGATTCTCAACGATTGACGCTTTTTCCCATCCCGACGAGGTCTAAAAGGCGCTGTTTGCGTCTGATCGACTTGCTAAACACTGGCGTGTCTTGAACGACCCACAGGAAAGTTTGGTCGGCGTCCAAATCGCAGGAGAAACAAACGTATGGTGCACACCACATGAGTAGGACCAACAGCAAGAAGGGCAGCATACAGGCACAGCAGGGCTTGTCGTGGCTCACCGGTGCACAGGAGGGAGGGAGAGAGGGGGATATCGGCCTGGCGGAAAGAGGAGGAGGAGGAAGAGAGGGGCGAGGAGAGAAGTTGCTGGGGTAAGCGTTGGTGTTTTCTCCCTTTCCTGGGACATACATGTAATCTGTAGCTCCACTTCGGGCCACACTCGCTGGGAGATGACCTTCCTGTCTTCCTATGCACAATACTTCCGGTTCAGGTTGTTTTTATGTATTCCATTCCTGTTCTCGTTTTCCACAGCAGCTGCAGGAGTTCGGTAAGCACATGTTGTTGCAGCTAATGCTGCAAGGCCGTACTGTTGTAGCGATACTGATGATGTTCCTCCGGCCACACCACAACCAACAGCCAACTGTAGCAGCGTCGCTCCTGATGGGGCACAAGTTATACCACCACGGGAAAGCAACGCCCGCAAGGGCGATCGCTGAGCACGTCCCGGGTGGAGGCTGTGCGATAGGCCGCATGGCAGCAGGGGGCACCGCTATGCAAACCGTGCATGACGCTGTCGCCGTCGTGTTCTTTTCTGAGATATCGTGGGATGGAATCTAAGCTGTGGGTGGAACGCGTGCACCGGAGAAAAAAGTAGAGTCGCAGGTGGTAGGTACTACTGCTGTAGTTCTTGCGCGCACAAAACACGTGAGAGCGCCAGGGCCGTGCGTGTGCTGACGAGGTGCCGTAAAATTAAAAAAAACGGAAGTAACAAGATCATTACTCTACTGCTGTCCTTCAATGATTGAAAAATATATACACACACAGCAAGACTACCCGTTCGAGATATGCCGTAATAGTTGGAGAGTTGGCACCGGCCGGAGAGATGGCACCGGTCGGAGAGCCGGCACCAGTTGGGGGGGGGGGCGTACTCTTATGTTTTGCATGTCTTAGCGGTTAGACCATTGACCACGCGTCCTCGAGAGGACGGAGCATTGTTCCCACAGGACCGATCACCGATGGCCAATCGTTCCTT